TATATATATATATATATATATATCCGTGACACTAAGGTAACAATGTGGTGTGATTTCACAGCCGACTTCATTATTGAACTGTACATTTTTTAAGAACCATCAGTGTATGGACTGTAATCCTGCACAGTCGGTGCTGCATTCATTATACAGCACACACACAACCAGTGTGATTCACATGCTGCAGAAGCAAGATGTGATAGATACCATGGTTTTCTTGCAGAATGGTGTTTCTCAGCATATTGGTAACCAGGCAAAACACATTTTGTGGAGTACTTTCAGGCCACTTTCCTTTTGACTGACCACCAGACCTAACAATGGCACATTTTTTATTGTGAGGGTACTGTAGGAAGCCTTGCACACTTCTTGACCTCAAGGAGCAAATATTTGGGAGGTGGCCATCATATCTTATGACATATGTAGTGTTGCTACAACATCTGTTGTCAACATGGATGCAATGCATTTTGGAAGTTGGAGGAACATATTTTAAACATTTGTGATTGATAAGCTGAGCCCTGCATTTTCAATGTAAACAGATTTTTTATAGAAAAAAAGCTTGGTTTTTACAAAAAGTATTATTGGTTGTTTTATTTTCAATTTTCACCAAAAATAACTTGTTTAATCAAGAAAATACATTGCATGAGATATATGAATAAAAATAATACATTGTTGTGTTCGTATATATGCAAAGTCACCTGTTGAAGTAAGGCTATGTATTAATCTAGACGAAACATGCACACAAGTTATGAAGTGCATGTGTATTTGAATGTACTAATGAAACTCGCACCCACCACGAGTCATGACGTAACGCACCCACCAAATACACCTGTTAAGCCTAACTGTAAATATTTATAGGCTAATTGTTCTAAGTCTATAATAGTAGACTGTTTATTCAAATGAAGAGTTTTATTTGGGAATTAGAGAGAGACTGTTTTTCTAAACTCGGAGGTGGCATTGTGTTTTGAGTTCTGTTCATCAAAGCATTAATCTACTGAATACTTTTTTTCCATCAGTCCACCAAAATAAACTCCGATATTTAACCAGAAAAATTTAGTTTTTAATCCTAATTTTCGTCTGTTTTTGTTGTTGTATTAATAAACACCAATAAAGTCCTGGGAATAATTAAAAACCAAAAATACAGGGCCCTGTTTATAAGACGAGGTCATTTTGGTGCTTATCTGGTGAGAAAATGGAAATTAATTTGCTGCTTTTAATTTATGGAACTTGTCTCTTTTCACATTCTGAAGGCCCGGTGGTTAAGGCACTCGACTCTCAATCTGAGGGTCGCGAATTGGAATCCCTGTCACACCAAACATGCTCACCCTTTCAGCCGTGGGGGAGTTATAATGTGATGGGCAACCTCACTATTCGTTGGTAAAAGAGTAGCCCAAGAGATGGCGGTGGGTGGTGATGACTAGCTGCCTTCCCTCTAGTCTTACACTGCTAAATTAGGGACGGCTAGTGCAGATAGCACTCATGTAGCTAATCATTTAATGATGATCAAATCTATACGATTATAAAAATGTAGCCTCAAAAGTTTTTTTATAATCTACATTTTAAAGAAAACAAATAAATCAAATCAATTAAAACAACAGCTGTCTAGTCCATGATTAAAGATTTTAAATTATCTTTAATACAATATATCTACAATTATTCAAATTACAAGTCAAGATCACAGGAAAGTAACATTAGATATCAAGATAACAAATAAATGCATCTTGGTCTTGTTTTCCTTATATCAGCAAGAACTAAATACATATTCATAACTTTACTATTACAGTCATGATTATAATTTTTTTTTCCAGTAAAGTATATTAAACTCAAACATTTTAATATAAGAATTACTTTTTACATATTACAGCACAAAATCAGTGTTGTAATGGAGTATCATACCATTAATTTTTTCTGTTTGTAGGCAACTGACTTTGCGAAAATGCTTTTTAATCTGAAAATGATTTATGAAAAATAACAAAAAACAAAATTTTAAAGTATGAATAAATTTGGGTTAGGACAAAAATAATGCATAATATTAAGTATCATTTATTTAATATAAAACGTTTATGACATTAAATAACTTTTGCAAATTATTCTTGATTTAAGGTACGTTTATATCAAGGTTTTTGATAAACTGACGTCTACAACTTGTACTGTACTACAAGAGGCTTTTCACAGAAACAATGACACTGTTTAGATATAAACTCTCTAACATTATAAAATTCATCTCTGTGCAAAAAGAATCTAATCTTCAGCTGCTAAAAGTTAGTATTTTTCTGAACACAATAAATGTTGCTAAAAAACTTTTTAAAAGTTATGTGCAATATAAACATTTCACTGCTGAAGAACTTCTAGGTGCAATATAAACATTTCACTGCTGAAGAACTTCTACG